AGGAAAGAGGACAGAAGACAGATTAGAGTAAGAGAGAATAAAGATCTGTTTTATTACAAAAGCAAATGTTCAAAACCCCCAACATACCCTAGGGAAAATTCTCTGTGCTTCAAGTACTAATTACCAGTTTCCCTTTTTCCATTTCAGCTGATCATTTGAAAATGTTTGCTTAAATCAGGAGCTCTATAAAAACCTGGTACAACACACATTGCAGGGGTGTAGTTATGGTGCGACGTTCTTGAATTTAGTTCACTGGAGGCTGCAGTTCTTTGGTGGGTTAGTCTGGGAGAATTCAGGGAGTCATTCCTACAAGTCTCACCCATAATCAACTCCACCAGCTATTCAAAGGATTTCTGTACTATATTTATTTTCAGCTTAAAATAACAGGTTTCATTTCTGTTCCTTTCCAAACACAATTACAGGCATTTAGAAGATTACTACAACACAACTTAATAATTGCTATGAAACTAGTTTGAATAGAAGAGTAAGAGTGTAGATAGAGAGCTTGACATAGCTGAAGACACGACATATGAAATGATATCTCAATGGAGCTTCTCAATCTTAACATCAAGACTTTCCATTTGCACTTCTACTATAAAGATCTACTGTAGAATATATTGACAGGAATAAAACATTCAAACCCCAGTTAGAGGAAATGGGATGAAAACAGGAAACTTGAAATACTAAATTTTAACCTTTTTAAACATTTTGAGACATCTTCTTGCTACATAGCTCATTTGGCCTTGAAGTTGAGATCCTCCTGCCTTACCTTAGAATTACAGGCATACATGACCAAGCTTGGATCCTCAGTGACAAGGTTTGCAATAAAAATTAAAAGGCATGGTTTGGCTCATAAGCAGTAGTTTTTCATTCAGCCTGAATGTGTCTATTTTATGTTCCTGCAAGTGACATAAACAATTAAAATCCTCATCAGGTTTCCTCAAAGACTGTTCACTATTCTAAGTTTATATAGAATCGGATTTAAATAAAGTAAGCACAAGTGAAAGTCTGTTAAGAATGGAGTTACTGTCTGGCTGAGCATGCTGTTTTTCCTAGTCATAAACAACCTTAGATTTTATATTTGTCTCATCAGTGACTAAGATTGAAAGCAGAGTTGAACCATGCAATAGAATTGTCACGTGAAAGGCAAAAGTACATTTCACATAAATGTTTGCAATGATCATATTACAGCATGGTTGGAAGAGAAAGTCAGCAGAGATTTTTGGTGTGAGGTTAGAGGTCAATTTGTCCTCTGGTCTTCAAAGAGTCCAGAATTCTAAAGGATGATGTGAATATGGCTGTATCTTAAGAGTATCAGAAAGGAGATCAAAAGTAAAAAACACTGCTGCTATGGTATTTTTTGCATGGAATTTGGCAGAAATTTTCACTATCTTACCCAGTGAAATGGTTACATGAAGTATCTACTTTATTAAGGTCTTATTTCCCAGTGGTAGTCCAGCTTTGATCTTTCAAAATACAGGACTCAGATGTGGTGGAGAGGCAGCACGATTGAAATTTTAAGTCCAGTTTGAGTAACATAAGGATAATATATCTCGAAAACAAAACAAAAACAAAAATACAATACATATAGCTAGCTAGCTAGCTAGATAGGTACGTAGATAGATAGATAGATAGATAGATAGATAGATAGATAGATAGATAGATAGATAGATAATTAGATTAATAGACAAGCAGGTTGATAGATCAAAAGACTGATAGGTGCAGAGTGGTAGAGGTCTGCCCTATCTGCTTAAGGTCTTGGGTTTGGGTTTCCTATACTTAAGTTTTTAAAAAATATGCATATTTACATGTGTAAAAGTACAAGCAAATGTGTAAAAATATATAATAAATAAATAAAAAATATAGTTACTTATATTTATAATTATACCCAATTTATAAGTATATTCATTAGAATTATGTTAATGTATATTATAAGTAAAAGAATATAAAATATGTCATATATAAATATATATATATATATATATATATATATATATATATATATATATATATACAAAATGCCTTGATTTTTAAGACCTGACATTTTAAGAAATGATTAAAGTAAAATGTTATCGCTTCAGTTCTTGCCTAATCCCAAGCTTTGGGCAAAGGACTTTGAAAGACACCAAGAATATCAGTATACTATATTCTTTGCCTCGGATACTTACTCAAGGATCTACCTTTCTATCTTACCAGTGAAAAGGACTAAAGTGCATTACTTAAAGTTAAGTCTAAATTTTCTCCCCATTTAACCTAAGAATAGCTATCAGAAGAGCTGAGCATTACTTACACAAAAAATTTCTTTACATTCCTACATCCTTTACATATACTTTACATATACATTCCTTTTATACACTTTATCTGTGGTCAGAACTTTTGTAAATCACAGTGACACTTCTACAATCCTTACAGAGGAAGGCAATATTTCAAAAAGCCTCTCCTCCCTTTGGCACACAGCATAGAAGCCTTGAATAAAAGCAAAAATTCAGGACTCAGAGCTTGGCTCTTCAGAATAAGCCATTAAAATACTGCTTAACTTTTATCATCACACTTGAATTCAACTAAGGCCGAGGCAAAATATTCACTATTCACAATTCAAAGGAAATGTGTACTCTAAAAATGAAGTTCCCAAAGACAAGAACGTCTCAAAGACAAGCTGTTTCTCCCAATTTCTGACAGAAGAGGTAAAGATAAACAGGCATGTCCTCATACCAGTTTCTTGGAATCTTCCAACATTTCCATCAAACAAAATCAAGATCAGTGAAAAGGCTTTAAGGGCTTGTAAATCAGATCAAGTGGTAGTTTTAATCATTATTTTAAAAAATAAAACAACAGGACTCTGTATTTTGCGAGTTACCAAAACACACACTAAGAAGGCCGCCTTCTACAGTGAATGTTACTTATGCTTCAAAAACCCAATGTTTCTGATTATGTTCTAAGAAACAAAGAGATGGCCTTCCAAACTAGTGTTTCTCATGGGCAGTAGGTATTTAGCTTGCCCCTTCCCTTTAGATAATTATAAAACAAAATTTACTCCTTTTTATTTATTTCTTTTGTTGAAATGTATTCCAACTCACACTCTACTAGGAGTTTCTGGCTGCAAGTTTAGTAGGGACAGTTTGAGCTGTCATCTCCAAAAGAGACAAAAGTGTTCAGACTTTTGTATTTTCCAGTCTATGACTACCTTAAAATGCAGTTGTTGTAAGGTGTTGGTTTATATACGAACAGAAATCACCGCAACGGTGGCTTTGTTCTCTCAATATTCTGCCACCGCCTCCAGAAGAAATAGTCAACTCATTTACCATCACACAGCTATGAGCAGAAATAACGTTGAACTGGTGCTGATTGCTTTTAGTGTGGACCTAAATAAACCACATAGCTCTGCCACATTAGGAGAGAATCCTGCTTGTGTGAAACTCTCGGAAGGAGGCAGCCCACTGAACTCCATGCCCCAATCTTATCTGTCACCTGCAAACAATACTACAGAGACTATTTCTGGAAACATTTGTCGGTATGCTTCATCCAAATTCCTATTTATACCAGGTCCCAAACTCTACCCTATGCCTTACGGTTTTAAAACCAAACCAAATTTATCCTGAAAACAACCTAAAACTTGTCTGGGTGATAGAACACTAGCTTTGCAGGCATCAGGTTTTAGGTTCAGTTCCTAACACAGTAACACACTCCTACCAAAACTCATCTGGAGAGACCATAAAGTCTCCTCCTGGTGAGAGTCCATGAGATGCTAGAACAGCCAGATCTAGGGTGTTTCGGGAATCTAAATGGACACACACATATCCTACGGTGGTCATCCTCACAGATTTAATGTTGGAAACAGAATCAAAATTCTCACACATCTCAAAAGCCTATGTCTTCTCCACAGATTTCTTTGTTCCTTCCTCCTTTGCAGGCTTCAACCCTATGTAATAATTAACACCTATTTTAACAACTACTACATTTTCTATATGGAATGTGTAGACATAAATAAAACAAACCTTCTCTATGTTGGAAATGTTCACACAGCAAGATGTCCTAAAGATTTTAAATATGAATGGAGGGCAGGTGTACATGCCTATAATTCCAGCCGTGAGATACATAGTGAGTTCTACACCATTCTCAGCAAAATCCCCAAGCAAAACAACAAAAAGGAAGTGCTATGTAAATGCTATCAACATCTCAGAGATTGCATGAACAGATATGTTGATATTAACAAAGCCATTTCTGTAAATTTGTCCAGGCCAGGTTGTCATGGCTCTTGGATGACTGAAGCAGCAGGACCCTGAGTTCACAGCCAGCATGGGCTACTGTGCTGAGGTGTTTGAGGTGCTGCCTCAAAAAGCAAACAAACGAACTAAACAAAGAAAAAATAAAAGAAAGTCAGTGGATGCCAGAGAACACAAATACGTAATTATTTTTTCTAACCCATGTTTCCTGCTTTCTTTTCTGGGATACTTAAGATAATGTCAAATCTTTGTCTCATTAATTAGAACAAATGCTCAAAGTATCTAACTAAATGTTATATATGTAAGCTCTGACACCAAATGACTAAAGAACACAAAGGAGGAAAAAAGGCATTTGTCAGTTTGAAAGTCACAGTTTACTGTTGTATATTTAGATAAGGGGGTCAAAATGAAGAATTCTTGTGTAGCAGGAATAAGAATCTTCCAGTGTCTGGCATCTGCAAGAAAATGAGAAGAAAACCATTCTTACTTCCTTTCAGTGACATAAGCACCAAATACAAGTGACAGCATCCACACAGCAATCTAAATAAATTCTCTTGGTCAGCTGCAGGAATCCACTATTGTTAAGAGCAGAATAACAAGTAACTTCTGACCCTCACCATGTTGGTACCACTGTGTTCATGGGAATGCTACTTGAATCAATAACCTTCTACACAGACAATGTACACTTCTTTGTAAGAGTTTCTTTTTTTTTTTTTTTTTTTTAAAGTTTATCGTTTATTTACAATCCATTAGGATAAAAACCCACTTTATGCAGCTGTACCCTTCAATTCATTTCTTCTGAAGAGAAGTACAAAAGACAGGACTAAAATTGAGACAAGTATTTAAAGGAAAATCCTATGATCTAAAAGTCCAAAAGCAAAATGTAAATGGTTCATTTTACCAAAAGAATGTTTTTGTACAAAATATAAAGAATTTTACACTATAAACAGACTGCTGTATACACAAACTAGAATTCTACTATATGCTTTTCCTCCAATTTTCTTTGAGCACAAAACATTTGCAATTCAGAAAGCTAATACTAACCTCAATGGGCAGACTTTCTCAGAAAAAGCTTTTACCCCTAATAGATCTGGAAAAGATAGATTGATTCTTTCCTTTGGTTCAAAGTCCAATAATCAGTTAAGTTTTAATTTACTTTACAAAACTCTGCCATATTAACATGAAGAGCACACTAATGCTTAATGCTGAAGCATTATCTTTTAGGAAGTAACAGAATACAAACTTTGACACAAAATCTAAAAGGTTACAATCTATGTCTACCATTAATCCCCAAAACCTCAGCAACTCCTATCTTTACTGAAAAAGACCAATCCAACTCCTTACCTCCTAATAAAATATTTTCATGGCTCATCTCTGAAAGAAACACAGCTTAAAATAAAACTGGTCATAGTAACTCACAGAAAATAGTTCTCTAGCACTAGCTGAACTTTAGACTTCATCAGCAAAGACATTTTTATATATCGATGTATATTAATAGAGTAATTTTAACTCGATGTTTATAATACTAGCTTGACTTTTACATTTAACATTTGAATTCTTTCATCTGAAAACCTTCCCAATAAAATTATATCATAATAATTATAAAGGAGATATTTTTAAAGTTGAGCTAGAACCACATAATCCTTTAATATGATAAGCCAGCTATCTAAATATTGATAACATTAATCCCTAATTGAAAACAAAATGAAATTTTATGAGCTTTACTGAAATAGTTTTAATTTGAGATTTCACCAATTCTTCTCGTGCATATTTCATCACCACCTATCATTATCAGTATTTTATAACATGCTTTAAGGTTTGAGACCTTAAAAAGATACTACCAGGACCTAAAATATGCATAGCTTTAGCTTAAGTGTTTTTATCCTATTTATCTCAACTCTCATTTTTTAATCATACAGGGAGTTCTAAAGTCATGATTAGAAGAGAAATGATTTAAATTATGGCTACAAATAGCACAAGAGCCTAAGAAATCATACACCTTCTATATTTAGATAAATTTTTTATAAGAGCAAGAATAAAATTAAGGAGAATGTTTTCATTATAAAATTCTTATCTAGTAGGGCAAATATTTTGTTTTAATGTATTCTCTCAAAACATCTTTGCTAAATGAAAAGTCTTTGTTACTAAAAAATTATTCTTTCTACCCATGACATTTTACATAGCATCCTTTAAGCACCAAAGAAAAATTCTGTAAACAAACTTTTAACCAGTAAACTAGGGGCAAATATCAATTTGTGCCTTTATTATAATATTTAAAAGGCCATGAGTCTCTACTTCCTACAATGCAGTTTTATAATAAAAATCCAGGCATATTTATACAAATAAGCAGAATCACTATACATTTGCTGAAACAAAAGGCAGATCAACGGACTAGAACTTTTTAAGTTAATAAAGTAAGCACATGAAACCTATAAAATGTATAAAAATTCAGTATTTTGAGTTTCATTGAAGGGATTCATAATTATTAAGACTAAAAGATGGTAGTTCCACTGGCTTATAATTATCCTGTAAACAGTAAGAAAGAAATAAGTGATAAGTTAGAAATGTATTAGCTCCCAGTATTTCCCTTCTCTTGCACCAGAGCCACCGGCTCTCATAAATATCAGAATAATTCTAGGAGAAAATAAATTCCATCTGGAATAAGTTAACAGTCTACAACAGATTTTTTTTTTTTTGGTGGTACTTGGGTTTGAACTCAGGGCCTCATGCTTGCTAGCCCAGCACTCTGCCACTTGAGTCACTCCCCCAGCCCATTTTTGTGTTGAGTATTTTCCAAAGGGTCTTATACACTACTTGCCCTGGCTTTGAACCTCCACCCTCCTGATCTCTCTGCCTCTGTAGCTAGGATTACAGGTGTGAGCCATCAGTGCCAGCTAGAACAGATTTTTGACATTAGGAAAAAAAGTGCTGCAGATCAGATGAGAACTGATCTACATATTATATGACAGAGTAACTCAAACCTTCAAAACATCTCTATTTTACCAGATTTGCTTTGTTGCTCTTATATTGCTTTCTAAATTGTGTGGTAGCAAGGTAATAGAAAAATAAAAAGTGAAAACACAGTAATAGTTTAATTTCTGTAGATTTATGAAGAAAAAACATCTCAAAATAGCTTTTTCCTATTGTTAGGAAAAAGCTTCATTTGGCACATTGGATTTGTAAAAAGAAAACAAGAAAAAAACTTAAAAGAGTGTTTCATATTCTAATCCTAGGTAGTTAAGACAACTGTAGGAAAGAAAAATAGAAAAATTACTATTTTAAGAAAAAAACAAGACAAACAACAAAAGGCTCTCTGTGTCTTCTACCATTCGCTGTCTCTGGAATACTTTCATTTGCAACACAATATACAAACTATTATTTACATTATGATTATATTGGTAATGAAGACCAGAATCAGTTTTGTTGTGCTCTAACTTAACAGTGCCCATTGAGATAACCATGACCATCCACACAAGAAGGCCTTAAACAGCAACATTTCATTCACATTGTATTTAAGTTTGTTTTGTCATTCATTTTCAAGTTTGCTGCACAAATAATTGTAAAACTCCAGAAGTCCTGTAAACGTAGGCTGAGTTTCTGTAGCTGATAACTGTTCACTGAAGATCATGTGTTTCTTATTAAGTAAAATGTTCTGCAGGCTTACAAAGGCATTTCTTTAAACGGTGGTATCTCCAAAGTCCTTGTTCCAACGTATGTATGCTTCTAAGGTTTGAGGACTCACACTGCGTTTTATCTTTTTCAAGGATTCAGTGAAGTCAGATAATCGAATGTTTCTCATCTCACTGGCAGACATATTCTTCACCTGTTCTGGTTTCAGTTCTCGGATAGGACCCAGGGCTGCATCTTTTGCCAAAGCTGTTAAATCACTTCCTGAGTATCCATCAGTCATTCTAGCAAGTTGTGCTAGTTCTTTTTGAGTCAATGGACTTCCCTGTTTACATAACAAATTCTTAAGTAAAAGTAGTCTTGTCTCCTCATTCGGTAAAGACACATATACCCGTTTGATGAAACGCCTGAGAACAGCCTCATCAAGCTCTTGTGGCCTATTAGTTGCACCCATTACAAGTACTCTGTCATCTCCTGCAGATTGCACACCATCAAATTCTATTAGAAATTCCGTTTTTAGACGTCGACTAGCATCATGTTCCCCTTCTCTTCTTTCACACAGAAGACTATCAACTTCATCTATAAAAATTATAGAAGGTTGAAGTTCTCGAGCCACCGCAAAAAGAGCTCTCACTAATTTCTCTCCTTCTCCCACATATTTTGAAGTTAAACTTGCAGCACTTATATTAAAAAAGGTTGCATTAGATTCTGCAGCTACAGCTTTGGCCAGCATTGTCTTCCCATTTCCAGGGGGACCAAAGAGTAACAGTCCTCTGGCAGGAGCTCTAAGGCCTGTGAATAACTCAGGCCTTAGAGAAGGAAGAATAACAATTTCTTGCAATGCCTGTTTTGCCAATTCTTGACCAGCTATATCATCAAATTTAACAGCTGTCCCATTGTCCACAATTTCATTCATTATAAGGTTAGCAAGGTTGCTGTCCACATTCCTAAAATTTTTCAAGTCTTTCTTTTTCCGAGCAGCAGTTGTAGGCGTGGAAGGTTTATTTGTTCTATTTGTTTTTTGAGTACCCTTATGAGTGGCAGTTGCAGGACCAGGTCCCTGTCTCACTCCAGAAACCATGGATAAACCACTGCAACTAGGTGCTCTGTGGTGACCTGAAAGACCTGTGGATCCACTTTTCAAAACTGTTTTTGAACGAGGCAGTGAATTACTAGCGTGCGTTAAAGGATCTTTTCTTTTCGGAATAGCTCCACTTTCTGACTGGAGATGTCCATTTCGGCATGTCAAGTTAGTAGTGTCATTATAGACATCCGTTTGTGACTTGGAAAATTGCATAACTGGTTGAAGCTTCTCTAGAAGTTGTAAACGATCCTTGGCCATCACCAAATTAGTCATCATTTTAGTTTGAAGGCGTACAGCTCTTTCACACTGTTCACCTTGTCCTGTAATGACAACAGCTATTCCTTTTTCTAGTTCTTCAATACCTTTTTTATACCATTCCACTGCTTGTTCCTTCTGTCCTGAGCAAAAAGTTCTTGAGACCATATTTCATATCTCATATCTCATATTTCATGGTGTGGAGGCGAATGCCTGTCACCCAGCTTTTCAGGAAGCATACACAGGAGGACTGCAGTGGGCCTGGACCCTTTCTCGTCCTCATCGATACGCAGGGCGATGGAGATGTACTCGAAGGCCTGCTTGTGGAAGGCTCGGACGCGCTCGGCCTCGCCGCCCGAAACGGGCGCGGGGGGCGAGGGAGAGGCTGGCGCCTGCGAGGCCCCGGAGCTCCTCTTGGCGGCCATGAGGGCGCGGGAGAAGCGCTGGCAGAGCCACACGAAGAGGAGCCCCAGGTGGAAGGCCACCAAACGCAGCAGCGCGAAGCCTACGAACAGCGGGTAGGAGAAATAATACAGGTTCCTCTTATGCGGCGACCGGGGCGGAGGGGCCGGCCCGGCGGCGGGAGGGGCGGGGGCCGGGCAGGGGGGCGGAGGCTTGGGAGGCACCGGGCTGCTGCGGCCGCCGGAGCCTTTCTTCTTCCCTCGACCACCTGGAGAACTCATTCACAGTTCCCACTGCCGCCGCCGCCATAACCCGCCTCCCGCAGACCGACGGCGACCAAGCGACGGCGGCGGCCACTGCGTCGGTGAGGGCCACAGACCCCGTAGGTCCCGAGAGCTTGGCACCTCCACGCGCTGCCCGCCAGCCCCCTGTAAGAGTTTCTAAGTGAGGAGATTATCAAACTCCAGCCCCAGCCAATCAAATGCTTCACACAATTCTGGATCAATTACAATGATCTCACTTGGATAGTTTTCTCACTCATATACTGTTCTTAGTAACTCAACAGAATTTTTGAGCTGTCACAATGTACTACGGGATAAAAATAGTATGGTATTACTTGTTTCGTAGATACTTATTAGGAAAAAATAAAGTTGCTGACAAAATCTCAAAGGTGATAGGTAATGTAAATACATGAACGGACTATTCTCACATGTACACTTAAAATAAACTTTACCCACATGTGTTCCTTCAGGAAATAGTTTCTCTTTTTTTTTTTTGCACCCTTGCAAAAGTCAAGAGAACTCTGAAACAACAGGCACTCAAAAAATGACACTTTGTTTTTATTAAGAGGATAGCAAAGAGGAGAGCGTGTTAGTGCACATCTGTAATCCTAGCTCTCAGGAGGCTGAAGCAGGAGGACTTTGATTTTGAGGCCAGCCTGAGCTGCACAGTCAGAGCCTATTAACAAAATAAAGTGAGTCTTACCTAAAATAGGACAATTTCCTTTTTTTTCTGATTATTTGGGGGTGACAAAGAAAAATAAGTTTGAATGTGTAAGGATTGAACAGCAGAGAGTTAATTTTGAACAAGAAGTACCTGCTCTTAATTTATAGAGACTCAGTTTCTCCTAGATTTGCATCCTACAAATGCCACTTTTACCAGCTAGCTACCCACACAGTATGATCACAAAGGTCTTGTGTGATACATTAGAGAGAAACTCTAAGAGTAATTCACTTACTCACGTGTGTTTAATGATGGTTTCTAACCTACTCCAGTGCTACTGTTTCTTTCCTGTTTATGACTAAATGCATTTTCTTAAGATTTTAAGTCAGAACCTGCATATAAAATGGACAATAGGTAGATGCAACTACTGAATATCACTGTCCACAGCTCAAGGGTGTCTACTTTTAGTATCTCTTTTCCAGCTCTCAGAAGAAGAAAATTAGTTTTGGTGTAAAATAGGCTAGGCATGGTAGGTCATGTCTGTATTCTCAGCTACTCAGGTTGCAGAAATTATGCAGATTGTTTTTTGATGGCAGCCCAGGTAAAAAGTTAGGAAGATCCCATATCAATCAACTCTCCAGGCAGAGTAATCCCCAGCATGCAAAATGTGAATGTAGGAGGAGTGCAGTCTGAGACCAGTCCCAACCTTCATAAATAATGCCTTTGCCAAAAAGGTGTGACCCTCCAGCCCTTAAGTATTGTCTTTCTAATTTTTCTTTTTTCCCCTTTATCTTCTGCTAAATTAAATCTGATCAACAAATATTTATCATGGAAGGGTTGAAAAATGCACAATAGTCAGCATACATGTCATACATTTATACATACACGTACATATATGCATAAAATTTTCCATATAATTTTTATGCCTACAAATGTGCCCTTTCATGAAAAATTATATTGTGGATTTCTAAGGGGAAACATTTTTGCAAGTTGCATTTTAAGGGACTAATGTTCTCTGGTGCATAATTTAGGAAATGTTGTAGAGCACTAATCCCTGTAGGACTCTATATGGGAGTCTTTAAAGTTTCCATGTGCTAGGTAGAATATATGATCTTTTTAACTTATATATATGACCTCTCTTAATTATTATTTTCTGTGAGACAGGGTCATCGCCACATCTCCATCTCCTGGGCTCAAGTGACATTCCTGCCTCGGCCTTCCAAGTAGTTGGTGTTATAGGAATGAGCCATGCACCCAGCTAAATCTTTTAACTTTGTCTAAATACTGACTAGTAGATACTGATCATTTAAGGGCTATAAAATTCAATTAAAAATGACTTTCTTTCTTTCTTTTCTTTTCCTCCCTTTCTTCCCTCCCTCCTTTCCTCCCTTCCTTTTGTCTTTTTCTTGGTAGTATTGGGATTTGACCTCAGGGCCTCACACTTGCTAGACAAGTGCTCTACCACTTCAGAAACACCCCATCTCTGAAAAACCATTTTCTAGGAATCTTTTATTTTGTTACATGAGACCCAGTAAGGCAACAGATTCTGATTTGTATTGCAGGATGGGTGACTTGAGACTGAGGAACCTGAAAGTGATCTCAGTGACCTAACGAAGAGGCATAAGGAGAGATGTGAAGCCCTGAAGAGCATCCCAATCTCAAGAAGTTGTCCAGAAAAAACACTTGAGTGTTTACTGCCTTGTGCATATAATGTGAACTTGATGGTTGGACAATGGACGCAAGAGGTAACCTAACTATGACCTGTTTATTTCCTGCCTATCCTATGCCTAATTAAACAATGCCACAAAGACCATCTGTAGTTAGTAGTTTTCTCATGTATCTTTCTCTTTTATTTTTTGAGGTACTAAGTCTTCCTATGCCTTGAGCCACTCTACCAGCCCTTCCTTGTGAAGGTATTTTTTGAGATATCTTGAGGTACTGTTTGCCCAGGCTGGCTTCAAACTGTGATCACCCTGATGTCTGCCTCCTCAGCAGCTAGGATTACAGGCGAAAACCATCAGCACCCAGCTTTCATGTATCTTTCTCTGGGGCCATTTTTGTATGGGTGAAATGAAAGCCCTTATGTATGTACTTGGAAATCAGTTTCTGAATCAAAGCCTCTGCTTTTTTGTGAGAATATTATTGCAATTTTTAAATAAATTTTGTATGTAGAGGGGGATGTTTAACAAAAAGTTTATTTAGAGGTCAAAAAGAAAAGAGCAGCATAGCTGCACAACCTTATCCAAGATGGTATTTGAAGTCCCAAACTTACTTATACTATGAGCACAGAAGATAACCTCAAAAAAGTATCATCTGTGAAAACTAAAATATTTCAGTGTCATTACTCTCAGATTTTAACTATGAATTTTCGATGAAGAAACTCTAGTGCACACAAGAATTATAGAGCAGTGTAACATGCCTGTCTGATTAATCTCATTCTACTTCAAAATATATCATTTGTGTGGAAGCCATACTTAAGAAAAACATGCATACACACAACTTTACTTTGGTACCACAATGTGAAAGAATATTGGCTCCAAATTGGTTAATACTCTAGTAATTTCTACTACCTTCTGAACAGACAAAATTGAAACACTTACCTAAGACTAATGTCCAGTTACTGTGCATTTCCATCTAGGAATTGAAATATTTCAAAAAAAATACACTAGGTCAGTGGAAATTCACTCCATCTACAAGGCTTACTAAATGAAAATGACTTATTTTCCTGAGGATACTGAATGAAGCTTGTAGAAAATGAAAATTATGCTACCTTGTGTATGCTACGTGTAGAAGATTTTTTTTAATCCATGTAGTATGATAGGAATTAGGACATTTTTACCCATGCATGGCCTCAGATCTGAATCCATCCCTTGTACTGGTACTTACGACTGATTACTTTCTCTCTCCACCCTCTTTATTCTGGTCCCCACAACACAATTTCTCTTTTCTGGTGCATCGAACCCATCATTCTACAATGTATACATCCCAATTTCTGATCCCAATTTTCTATTGATATTATTCCATGACAGTTAGAATCCTAACCAAATTCAATAGACTTTTATTGGTCCCCAAATTTATTCATGGTTTTTAATGTCATTTTTCACCCCATCTTGAAAATATTAATTTCAATCTGTGATATTGTACTTGACTGTTCATGATTTCTTGATTCTGACCCAAGATGGAATAGGGTGAAGTTAATATGGTACTTATCAAACAAAATTCATGGAGCCATTCACTTTTAGGGTCATGCAAGGGCAGTTGTTTAGGCTGAACACACTAATTGTTTCTGTCACAATTAAGAGAATAAACGTGTTTTGCCTCCATTTTTCTTACTGTTTTTCCATGGTAGAACATAGCGCACAGTCTTGGGAACCCGCCTGCCTGAGGCCAGGTTTCTCTTACGTTCTGTAATTATGTTGTTTGCAGAACTGCAAAAAGAAAGAGTAATTTGAATATGTCAGCATATCTGTACTCTTCAGGCAGGTACCCACAGGATAATCAAAATGTGTGGGCAAGCACAACAACCTACATTCCTCAAAAACATAAATAATTCCCATCAAAACATTTCTGCAATTACAATGCCTAACATTTCTCTGGAAAATTCCTGGTTCTGTAATCTCCTTTTACTACAGAAATTAAGGAAAACATCAGTGCCATCTAGTGCTGAGTAATTTTACAGGTGCAGCTACTCTTTCATTAAACATAAGAGATTAACTAAACATTCAACTTAATCTAAGGAAACAAAACTCATAGGCTTGTGCTAAAGTGAAAGTTGTGACCAATAGGATTTATCTATTTTTGTTTATAGTATTATGGTATGTATTATATTATTTATAATAGTATAAATAGTATATACAAAATATACTATATTTTATTATTTTTTATATAAAATAGTGTATACAAGTAAAATAGTATATACAAAAATTATTAAATTGATGTTGTCCTTGGGAAATGAGGTATTTTATCTTATTCCTTCCTTTTTCTAATCCAGAAATTGTCTCACTTGCATTTGAAATTTGCTATTCTAATGATTGAGGGTTGACAGTAAACAATAAATCTCAAGATTTATTTGTGGATGTGTATCATAAATTAATTCTACAGAGATCCCTTTGTCATAGTTCCATGCACGCATATGTTATAGTCTTCATTCAAATTCACCCTTCTATTGCTTTCGTATCCCTCTGTTCCCCCCACTACCATGTTTTTTTTTTGTTGTGCTGAGTGAGGGTACACTGTGGTATTTATAAAAATTTTTATCTTATATCAAATATATGGTACTTGAATGTACCCCCTTCCACTCCTCTTCTTTTGTCCTTCCCCTCTTTCCTGTAATAGTTTCAACAGGTATCATTTTTGCATTTACATACAAGTCTACATGTTTTTTGCACTGTTTTGATGCTGCTGCCCATTTCTCTGCCACCACCTCCCTTACATCCCCACCCACCACTGCAGGACCTGTTCCACCCTCCTG